TCCGTAGTACACGAGGTATCTCTTGTATGTAATTACAGAATTTCTCGTGAATGTAATTATTGGTAAATTATAATGCGTATATAATTGATTACTAGTGGTAAGCAGTGTTGTGAATTCTCACGAGCCGGTACCATCGTCATATGTATTGCTAACGCGATGCCAGTTTTAGCTCTGAAGATATTAATGTTATTGATTCGAATGTTCAGTAGTTATTGGAGCCAATGGATTTAAATGCTGCCATTCACCTTGAGACATGAGGTCCGAGTTTGAATTGTATTGTTTAACAATCATTAGAGCGATCGAATTGGATCGTTCATTGTGGAAGTGGTTCATAAACGCCTGTGAGACATTAGATTTAAAACAAAAATGGCGCCTGGGTGTTAGTTTTTAGCCCTAGCATAGTAGCGTCGCTCGATAAAAATACACCGGGCATCTTATTTTTTGCCACAACGCCTTCGAGGGTTCGAAATTAGGTAGCACATAATTCTACCGACGATAAAGTAGAAGAAAACAAAGTCGTCGTGGCCTAAAGATTATGACGTCCGGTGCATTCGTGTCGAGCGATGCAACGGTGTTCGAATCCCGCAGGCGGGTACCAATTTTTCTAATGAAATACGTACTTGACAAATGTTCACGATTGACTTCCACTGTGAATTAATAACATCGTGTAATAAAAATCAAACCCGCAAAATTATAATTTGCGTAATTACTGTTGGTAGGACCTCTTGTGAGTCCGCATGGGTAGGTACCACCACCGCCCCGCCTATTTCTGCCGTGAAGCAGTAATGCGTTTCGGTTTGAAGGGTGGGGCAGCCGTTATAACTATACTGAGACATTAGAACTTATATCTCAAGGTGTGTGGCGCGTTTACGTTGTAGATGTCTATGGGTTCCAGTAACCACACAACACCAGGTGAACTGTGAGCTCGTTCATCCTTATATGCAATAAAATAAAACACCAGTTCAAATATATGTACTATTTGTATGTGGATCGAAAGGCTTGGGACGGTTGCGCTAAGCTACATTTCTCTTTATTGCGTGTCGTAAATATATTTTTTATTGTGGCGATATCATTTACGACCGTTTTAATGAGTTTTCTTTTCGTAATGTAAGGTTTTGTATTTTTGCCGTGCTACACTATTAATAAGGAAAGAAATTTGTTACTATGTTTGTTGCAAGAATATTATGCCGCCCATCTTACGATGAAGAATGTTCACACTAAAATTTAAGCCGCAAGCAAGATAGAAAATGGAAATATTAACGTAAAAAAGGTTTATTTTTTAGATGGGTGGACGAGCTCATAGCCCACCTGGTGTTAAGTGGTTACTGGAGCCCATAGGTATTTACAACGTAAATGCGCCACCTACCTTGAGATATAAGTTCTAAGGTCTCAAGTATAGTTACAACGGCTGCCCCACCCTTCAAACCGAAACGCATTACTTGTTCACGGCAGAAAAAGGCGGAGTGGTGGTACCTACCCGCGCGGACTCATAAGTGGTCCTACCACCTGTAAAAAGTATATTTAGTATTTAATGTAGATCATTAATATTTTTGTGCCAAAGGGATTACCGATCGGAGTGTGATGGGCGTCCGGCAAATTTCGTACAGAAGAAGTAAGATGTGTTCAGTTTAGTTCATTCAGAGTCATACACATGGAATTATAAAATGCAATAGTTAATGCCCTTGGCAGCGAGTTCGATTCCCATGTCGGGGAAACATTTATGTGCTGAATAGGTCCGTTTGCTCTTTGCCTGTTTTTTTTTTTAATTTCAAATAATATTTGTATATACAGTGACGAGAATTACGAGTAATTATATCGATCTCTAGTTCCCATAGTACAGGAATCTTAGTTTGTGGCCAAATAACCATGTGTCGGACCCATGAAATGTTCCCGGTTAAAAAACTTCCGAGATGTCGTTAGACTCCGGTAGCTTCTTCGCATAAGATAGACAACGACTTCCGAAGGAGCGACCAGATAGACAACTAACTCAACTATCTACATACAATATAAAGAATATACAATAAATTTTTAACCATCCGTCCGTCCGATGTGTATATCTAACATAAAAGTGCCGGACCAAGACAAGTGTAATGTATATGAGTTAAGTTTCGTATCTCGACATCTTCTTCACTCCGGTTTGAGCCCCGTGCTCACCTACTAGCTAAGGTTACGCTGAGATAGCCTGTCGAGACTAAGGTAGGGAAAAAAAGACATCTTCAGCGACAAATGACAGTTTAAGAAGGTCGCAACGCAATGGCGTTTACAGAAGAGGGCGTGATATTGAATTTGAAATTTGTAACGAAGTTGAAAGTTTAGGTTTTATTAGTTTGAAACTAACCTGCAAAACGGCGCTCTGATGATAAATTGTTAACTAGTTCTAGATTTTTATGTCACGCATTCGAGACTATACCACGCAAGAACGCTAATGTATTGTAGATCGCATTAAACTGTGCCTGTGTACCTATGCTGATAGCCTTGAGAGGCTATTTCAGCTTTTCCTTGACGTGTAGGTGAGCTCACGGGGCTCAAACCGGAGTGTTGCTAACACTGGCCCTAGCAAGAGCAGTGCTTCGCAGAATCTACCACCGGATCGAAAACGCGACCCACTGAGAAGATCCGGCGAGAAACTCAGTGGGCTGTGTCTATGGGTTAATTTACTCGTCGAGCCCTTCGTCGCAAGCGACGGATTTGACGAGGACGGTGACCGGTGCTTGAGGTACCTAAAAGCACCGTTAATGGATCGGGAGGATCCGTAATGACGTGTTTAGGACGACGTCGACTGTTTACCATTCGGTCTACAGGATCGGTTGTGAGCACAGGTCAATGACAATTTCTTCTTTTAAAGTTAAAAAACATGAAAAAAATTCATGGTCTTGTTAAATGGTACGCCATAAAGCAAATATCCGTGTAAAGTTTTCGTGATCAATTCGTTAATATGATCATACTAAAATTATCTACAATATTTTTTGTGGAAACTTACAATCACAATGAACGAGTTCTATTCTTTAAATAGCGTGGGCGAAGATCCGATCTCAGCGATGGGATAAAGCGTAGCCTATATTCTTTCCCAGGGTTCAAACTATTTCCATACCGAATTTATAGAAAATCGGTACAGCAGTATTGTCCCATTTAATTTCGTATTTAATATTAGTAAATGAAAATTTTGCGTTGTCCAGGAGTACAAAAACTGTCAGTGTGTCGAGGTGAGCTCACGGGGCTCAAACTTGACGATATTGCTAACACGAACCCTAGTAAGAGCCGTGCTTCGCAGAATCTACCACAGGATCGGAAACGCGACCCACTGAGAAGATCCGGCGAGAAACTCAGTGGGCTGCGTCTGTGGGTTAATTTGCTCACCGAGCCCTTCGTCTCAAGCGACGGGTTCGACGAGAACGATGACCGGTGCTTGGGGTACCTAAAAGCACCTTTAGTGGATCGGGAGGATCCGAGATGACGTGTTTTGGGCGACGTCGACACGTTTCTACGCGACTACTCAAGTCCACGCGGACCTAGACGTGAGCACAGCAATTATTCAAGTGTTTTTGTATCCTACTATAGTTATATCTGTTGGTGAATAAAAGACATCTGGCAAAAACCAGAATCGAAACATATCAAATGATATAAAGAACTGTCGCTTGTAAAAATCGGCACGTTTGGATACCTAAACAGTTTACAATATTTTTCAAATCAAATCCAATCATAAGAGTCATACCGCTGCCTACCGTTAAGTATTCTCCACAAGCCTCGTTTGAAGAAGGACATGTCATTGCGCTCAGTTATACATTATCTAAAAAGTTATATTGATTAAACTTGTTTTCGTAATTACCACCATTTTTATAATACCGAATGACGACCACGACCGCTCTGACAAGAGTGATACGACAAAACGAACCACTTTTTCATGAATAAAAACATGATTAGTATAAATTTACGATATCTGATTTAAATTTCGAAATTCTAAAACAAAATATTGCTTGTGCAACTAAAAAAATCGATAAGATGATTTCAATAAATAAGAAAATATGGCGTGATATATGTAATTTCAACTGTCCATAATAAATTTTAAATGAAAATTCATTTTTATTATTGTAGACAATGAATTTCATTGCAAAATATGTGAATCAACATATTTATATAGGTTTAATTCCCTATTTCATGTAACCCCAACAGAAGATTAGGTATTATTTTTCGACCTTAGTTTGACCTACAGTAAGCCAGTAGAAACTTCTAGTCGTTTCTAGAATATTATAATTATTTATTATTATTCACATGAAAATTCTAATCACCTATGACCTAGATATTATAATACTAAAGCTTACTTCAGTTTAAGCAAAATTAAATTTCCCTATTTGTTCACTAAGATATTAGAAATGCAATTTCTAAAATCAACATGTTTCAAAAATTTATCATTTTGATGAGTGTATCAAAAAAACTCTTTATTTAACAGTTTTTCTATTTACATTATGTATATTTTTTAAATAAAATCTGATCTGAATTTGAAAAGACTCATTTTGTTTCTTAATAAAATCAGTCAAGCTAATTTTAAATACTAAATTGCTTCTTGTTATCTCAAAACAACATTGCATAGTATGTTTACGATTATAAACTCAATGCAAAGATAATATCTTGTGTTAGTTTTTCTTTATCTTAAAATTTCGAGATAATTTATTTTGTTTATTCATTTGCTCCAATTTTTTATTTGTTTTACCTTAACTTCCGATTTGAAACAAATGTATTTTTAAAAATAATTGGAATTTTTCATTTAATGTTCTTGTTTTAATAGTATTTTAGACAAATCAATCCAGATTTTATGAAATACCCAGTGTATCATTTATGCATTATAAGTTCCTATTATTTTTATGACAAAAACTTTAAAATTCAATAATAAATACCCAACGTTTAAGTACTTATAATAGGATAAGATAATTCACAAATGACAGTATTGACAGACATTTTAAATGTGATTTTAAAATAATTTGGAATTAACACTTTAGTATTACCTGGTGGACTGTCAGTGAGTATTGTAATTCCGCTTGGGTCAACATGTGGTGGGAACGCCTCATAGAGATCAGGCTCCTCTTCAAGCACTGCCGACAACATCACGGAGGGCATTCCGACTCTATCTTCACAAACACAAATTCACTCTGACTAGACACTACACAACACCGCACTTGACTTCCAGAGGTCTGTTGCACGATCAGAGCTCACACACGTGAGCCACCCCAAGCCATTACTGTCACATGTGCAGCACTGGTCACAGTTCCTAAGTCAAATCTTGCTGCACCATTTTTAAATCTGAAAACAAGGACAAGGTTCAATTCACAGGAACCGTGTCAAGACTGCCAATATATATGTAATACTTTATCACCGAGATAACATTATCAGCCGAATAAAATAATCAAACGATTATACTGCCTCAGATAAGCATATCTTCGAGACAATCAGTTACCTAACATAATTAAAACAGCGCGGATCAGCTGATCACCTCGCTGCCAGGGCAGACTTGACATTTTATAGCTATTTTAAGACATTCGGGCGGCTGATCAATGTCAGATGCCGACAGCCAAAACTATATTCGCGATTTTGTCTAATATGTGTAAACTACGGGAGGAGCGTACTCACCGCAATCCTGACGATAAATGATGCGAAGCAGGATCTGCGCCTCCGTATTTACCGCTTTGGAGTCCCCGCGACGACTAAGCCGAGTGGCCAGTTCCCGACCCAACGTAATCACGAATGGGATAATAGTCTCGAATGAGAGTCGACGCGTTTGCTTTGTCACTTAAACGAACCACAATGTCCCTGATTGTACCTCACAGTGATATTTTATTAGTAACTGACCACGGATACATGGCAATTTTTTTTTTAATTTACAAGCACCCCTGCTTTCCCAAATTATCGATGTACCTATCCGGTGAAAGTCGTCTTAGCTTTAGATACGGTAAATACTTATTTGTAAAGAACAGTACATGGAAATAATTATTTACAGATAATTCTGTAGCAGTTGTCGTTTAAACAAAATACACGACTTTAAAATTTTCACGTTTTGCAAGAACTTGAACTCGACAAATAGATGAAAAAAGCCCCGCACACCCGTCGCACCGACCAACAGGAAGAGCATAGACTAGTAAGCTATTCGTCGAAATTCAGAAATACAGATGGTTACAAAGAAATCAAATCGGCTGAACAAGCACACACATGCTGTTTAATTTGCAAAGTGGTATAAATATGTAGTAGGACCTATTATTTTCAGCTTTGACTCTTTGATCAAAACATTTTTAAAAAAAAGCATCGCATGATTTTTTAAAGAAGTCAGTTAATCATGATCGTTTTTGTCCATATTCTTTTTTTCTGATGATAGTACTGATAGAAACTTCAACTCCTCGGCATTCATTAAATAGCTCAATTAAATGAAATCAAAGATAATTAAACGAGTAATTTTCGTTAAATACAAATTTTATCATGCAACTAGTGTTTAATCAGTATTTTTTTGTCACTTAAAAAATTGGTTAAAAATTATCAGTATTGATAAGATTTGTAATAAATAACTTTACACACAAAATATCTTAATATTTTAATTACTTTATTTATTTTAGCTAAGAGATATTTTAAATTATTTTTAATATGATCGATCGGTCATTTTAAACCCTTCATTTATTTCATAAAAGTTTCCAGCATAGAATTGAATCGTACCAATTACATAAGTAATGTTCATTATTATTTTGTGGTAGTTTCGATTTGCTATAACAATCCGTTACGTTTTAAATAGAATTTAACATTATTTCCAGTTTTCACTATTAATTATATACCTACTCAGTGTAGGCTAGGCATCATAAAGTTTTTTAAAAAGTAGAATTGAGAAAGAGCTGAAATGAGAAATTTTCAAAACTGTTACAAATCTTCTGTACGTGCATAATTTATACAAAACAAATACAATGTGAATTTTTTGAATATAAAAATCCTTATTGTCTAAATTTTATATAAAATTTCACATGCACACAAATTGAAAAAAGGTTTTAAAATAATACAATTACCAACTTTTCACAGTTAACAATTAATATGTTTTCGATAATATTGACTAGTATGGAATTTCAAACCCTAAGTGAATCACATAGTATCTGGAAACACAATTATTTTTTTATGTATACATGTGCTCTACATCGCACAACAATTATCAGTCAGCGATCACGTTATGTAAATAAATACATTAGTGATTCTAACTCTATATTGTTGGTATCCCTATTTTGGACTGTTATGGTACAGTCAAAACCTTCTACATCCTATCAAGTTGTCATTTATCAAAATATGCCATAAAACTTCACTGGCGCACGAGTCAAGGAAAGAAATCCTGTAGATTTCCTTGCACATATCCTTTTATTTATTTTTCCGTGGGTTAAGTTACGAAATGTTATGGTAGAATGTATGCTTCATGCATCAAGAACATTTTGTTCTGTCAAAGCTGCACTGTAGACTTTTGGCGGGAACTCCAAACGTGGCGGTCGATTTAAATATTTTTACTGTTTTTCGTTAAAATATTACCAAAACTTATTTTATATAGTATATATATATATAGTGTAAATAATTGTACATTTTGTTAAATAATAAAATGAACGAACCGGAGGATCCAGGTGGAACCCCGAAACGTTCCAAAATTCTTCGTAAAAGAGGTTC